CTTCTTGGCCGCCAGCGTCACCTTGGCGGCCTCCACGGCCTCGTGCCGCTCCGTCAACTTCGACTCGCACTCGACCACCTGTTCTGCCAACTTGCTCTTCGCTGCTTCGGCCTCTGCCACCTTACTGCTAGCCTCCTCGACGGTGCTGCTCAAGCCAGCCTTGATGCCGTAAATCGTCTCCTCGAACATTTTGACGACCATCGTCTGCCGCGCGTCTCGTTCGTTGCTGAGCACGGCTAATGAGTGCGGCAGCATTGCCACGAGCATGGCGCGCGCATCGGGAGTGAGCGAGGAAGATCTGTCGAGGGCCTCCACGACCGCGTCCTCCTCCGGCGATGCAGCCTTCGCACGTTTAGGCGCTGGAGCAGCTTTACCCCCGCCCCCAGGGCCACGCTTGGAGCCCTTTGGCGGCATGCCGTATGAGGCGCTGTGAGTCCTATGACCCAGGTTTTGAGCCCTATGAGGCTTCAACGACATGTCAGCTGTAGCGCGACGATGCAGCAGACACAAGCGCAACACATAATTGCGGAGGCATTTGTTCGGGGATGGGCTGCGCTCGGCGTCGTCATTTTCGTCGCTGTCGTCGTCATCCCCCTCATGCAACTCCTCACGCTGTCTTCTCCTCATTTCCTGCTTCCCTCTTCCTCCTCCTCCTCCTCCTCCTCCTCCCACTTCTCCTCCTCCTCCCCTCCTCCTCCTCCTCCTCCTCCTCCTCCTCCTCCTCCCACTCCACCTCCTCCCCGTGCCCCCTCACCCTCCTCCTCCTCCTCCCTCTCCTCCTCATCCTCCTCCTTCTCATTCTCCCCCTTGCCCCCCGAACCCCGAGCGGCCGTCTGCCCGCGCCCACGCACCCCCCCCCCACTGGCGGCCGCGGCGCCTCGTAGTAGCAGGTGGGGGCGGCGTTGTTCGCGTCGATCAGGAACTGGGAATACCCGTTGCGCCTCGCCCTCCCGCCAGCTGCTCCTGACCCCCCAGCCGCCCGCCCCCCAGTTGCGCGCCGCAGCGGGGGGGTCCTTCCCCGCAGCTGCTCCTGCTCCTCCGGCTCCTCTGTCTCGCTCCGCCTCCTGCTCCTCCTCGTCGTCGTCCTCGCCGTCCTCCTCAGACCACGTTCTCCTCCTCCTCGTGCTCTCTACATGCTATCGTCGTCCTCCTCCCTCGTCCTCCGCTGCCCTCCTACGATGGGGCCAGGGAGGGGTCCGGGGACCGTTTCTGGGCGGAGCCTGGTGCTTGGTCGGAGGGTGCCAAACTGTACCCCAATCACATGTCCTGGGCCAGGATCGGTGCACACGCCCTGCTGGCTTGGTCAGGGATGCTCGCGCGTCGATCCTGGGCCCAGAGTCGGCCTGGCCTGGGAGCACGTATTCGCGAGGTGCGGTCGTGACCGTGATCCGACGCCCAGTCATGCCATCGATGACCGCCGCCTCGTGATCATGATGCTCCTGCTGAGCAATATGTGGATTGTCCTTCAAGTCGTAATCAGTGGCATGGCCAGTAGAAGCTCCCCGACAACGCAACGACGGCAACGCTGTTCCCAACCACAAAGGTCGAGGTGCTGGATGTGGCCGACGCGAAGACATCTGCTTGGGACGTCTGAAGCGTCGAAGAGCACACTATGCACTCGCACCGGGTGCGCTCGAAGGTCCGTTCGCGGCGCGTGCTGCCGTCATTCATCTCGACGCGCCCGATCCCGACGCGGGCTCCGCGCAGGGGGGCGCCGCGCCTCGCCGGCGGCCCCCCCGCGCGCGGCGCACCCGGCTGGGAAGGGGCAGCACCGACCCAGACCAACACCCGCCGACGCGGCTTTGGCGGCCCGCGGCCCAGAGAACTCCAGACCTTGGACGCTCCGGCACACAACACGCAGCCCACGGCGTGGTGGCACGGAGCTCAACACGTGGATTGAAAACGTAGGCCTGTCGCGATACGTTCGCCCAAACGTGGGCCGACACGTGCTGAACCAGCACGCAGCGTGTTCGCACGGACGTCTTGAACACGGCACGTGCTGCATGTCAACACGTGCGTATGAGGACAGCAAAGCTCCGGACCCCTTTCCCGGGACAGCCCCTCGCTCTGGATCCGTTCCTGATGGTCCACCCAGAGGTGGCCCCCTCTCTCCATGCGGCCGAAGTGAAGGAGGATGGGCTCCACGGCCCGAGACGCCCACGGCCAGGGCGCAGCCTGCTAGCCGTTAGCAGATCACCCACGCAGCCAGGAGCACCAGGAGGATGGCGGAAGCAGGGCAGAACCGACAGGAGTGCACGGAGATGAGATCGCCGGAGATCCGAGGAGACCTGCCGCCCCCGCCGCGGCGAGCCTCGAGGCAGTACCGCGGCAAGGCCCGGGGCAGGCGACGCCACCCGCGGTGGGGCTGGCGTCGGGCGCGGGGGGGCCGCCGTCGGCGCGCCGCGGTCGTCGGGGCCACTGGCCGTTAGGGCCCGGCACCGTGTGGTCGCCGTCGGCTCCTGGGGGGCCGGAGCCGCCGCTGGCGCGGGAGCCGCTGGCA